TAATTTGGACGTATCCATTCGAAAAAAGTTCGTCTAAATTTCGAGTTTCGATATGAATACAATCACTCATGTCCTTCGACGTTCTTCTTGACGTTCCGTTCAATAAATCTGGCGCGACTCAGAGTAACGTCTGTTGGACGTGAAACAAGACGTCGTCGCGTCGTGACCCAGGGCTAGACCTGATCTCGGCACGCCAGCGTGCGGCTTCCTTCCCCCTCCCCCTTTTCACCCCCGGGAAGAACGCCCTCTCCTCTTCACCTCACTGGACCAGACCCNCTCACTCTAAAGTGCAGCGTTCCTGATTAATCTTTAATCGGAGCGTCATAATTCCCAATTTATTTGCTGGTTTACCGAGACATAACGGCACTTCCTCCCCGGCAACCGTTTCTATCTGTTGCCGGATCAGGCATGGCTGGACCATGATGGACATTTTAGTCGTGCACGTCATGAAACTTAACGAGCGGGTCGTAGATGTTTCAATCGGCCTGTTACAAACTTCGGCCAGAGCAAAAAGCAAAGTTGATTCTTACAGAAAGTGGATTAAAAATCACGATAGGCAAGTCTGAAATCCATTCCTAACTTTACAATCTGGGTAATAAATATGCGTTAAATAGCAATTTTTTGTGAGGACTAATTTTTCTTTTCGCCCTAGCTGAAGTTTGCAACAGGCCCATCGATGACAATCATTAGGACTTTAGAGTGACTTTAGGTTTCTCCAGCATACACTCACTCGACCATCTGGGTGTCTCTTTACAAAATCCAATTCATCTCCAAGTACTGAATTTTCATTGTAATTTGATTGATGCAGGTAAAAAAAATAGTTACAATATGATTTGAGGACGAAGTTTATCCAACAATGTTCAGAATAATCGTGCGATGACGACGCACCGAAAAAAAAGTGATGTTGATTTAACATTCTGGATGTAAAAAATTTGTGCGAGAACTTACAAAATGCTGAAATACTCGCTACAGTAGTTAGTCTTACATCTTGACATTTCTGACATAACTGCTGTAGCGGTATTCAGCATTTCGAAAGTTCTTGCACACTTTTTTTACATCCAGGATGTTAAATCAACATAACTTTTTTTTGGTGCACGTTATCATCGCTTACAATCGCCGATCAAATATCGCTCCTAGAAAGCAGCGTCGGCATGACATAACAAATGAAGGAGGCTATAGACTGTTACAAACATGACACTTTTTTCTATGAAAGTTTTAAAAAAATAAACTTCCCAAAAATTATCGTCGATAATTTTTTTATGCATTTTCTGCAGCATCAGTCACGCTTGTAACGTTGTGAGTAGATGGACTAGTTGGACTGCATTTTGCAATTTTCAACTGTAAATTCTGGCTCATCTGAAAAAACAATTATGTGCATAGGGAAACTAATGGCACATACGTTGTTTTTCAACCGGGCCAGAATTTATAGTTCCAAATTGCAAAATGCAGTCCTGTTGTCCCTCTAGATAAGGTCGAAATTGTAACTCATGTTTAAGCAACACGGAACAATCGTCGGGAGTTTTGAGGCAGTAGATTCCTCGTGTTCATTGATCCATTTTTGAAATGAAGGATCCCTCCTATGTATCTGTCGCATGCAAATAATCAAATCAGGTATTTTATCAAATGCCTAGGCAGTTATTTAAATTTTTGACAGTTTACGGAATTCTGTAAAATGGCGAGGAGTTCAAATCCGCGAACTCTCCTCATTCCTTCCTTCTCAAATGTCTTTCGTACTTTTAAATGTTGCAATTTTAAAAATTCTATGTTTTATGACGTGCTGACAATGTCAAGATAAGCAAGGTGGAAAAATGATGCTGGGTTCACAGCATTTCGGGGGGAAAACAAAGTCAAGAAGTTCCAAAAATTATAATTAGAGTCAAAATTAAAATTTTTGAACTGTAATGTGTACCAGTAANGGGGGTGTTCAGCTCAGGCAGTTTGCATTGGAATATTAAGTTGGAGTCACGCCGAGAGATCTATACCGGTTTAGTTTAATTTTGACTCTAATTATAATTTTTGGAACTTCTTGGCTTTGTTTTCCCCGCGAAATGGTGTGGACCCAGCATCATTTTTCCACCTTATTACATATAGTTCGGGCGACTTTTTAGCGTTTTTTTCCCAAGATAAATGTGCTGTTGCTGTTAGGAACTATAAATCGTTTAAAGTACTATGCATATGTTGTACTCGCATGTGTTTATAGAGAATCTAATTTTACAGGAGCAACAAATTTTTGTCACTAAAATTAGGAGAATAGTCAAAATTTCAATCTAAGGAAGAATATTTGACCATTTACCTATAGGCATTTGACAGAATGCCTGACTTTACTATTTGTCTGCGGCATATCTTTCCTACATCTCATGAGCCTGGCTTTTTTGTGGCGCAAGACGTATTTAGAGAGAACCGTGGCAACCGCAGTTCCTATCACCTCATCTTACTTAACTCTCCCCTCTATGCAATCATGAGCTCCCTTTTGCAACTTTTTAGCGGGCAAGACCGTCGCGACTGATAAAATTGGCCACAAATCGGGGAGCCCGATCAATAGGAAGTTTTAATTCGTCGCCATGGACTGAGAAGAGGGAGTTAGGTGGGTGATAGCGGGGTTTTTAAAACTGCAGAACCATCCAAAGACAATCGGTAGCACTGCAACTTTTTCGATAAATATCGGCATAACCTAGTTTCATAGGGGCGAAAATTATACACCACAATTTGGCACTTGTTTGACTTCGAATTCACTTCGCCGGGAACTCTCTCTGATTCCACAAGTACTCGCCTTTTCAAACTTTTTTCCCTGCACTCATTCTCAACGCAAAAATGGATCAGTGTTTAAGAGAGTTGGATCGAATGAGAAGGGTTATTAAGTTTATTTTGAGGGGAGCTTAAGATTTTCTAGTATTAACATCATATCGTCTCATTAATGAAGGAAAGGGGTAAGATAAGTAAAATAATCGGTTTTTAGAATCTAGTGGCGAGAAACGCTGTTTGTTAGCATGAAAAATACATTTGCCGGAAACATAGAAAAAAATTTATATTTTAAGAAACTTTCAGGTATTGTACAAATAGACCGTGACGTTATCTCTTTTCAAAAATCTTCTTGCACACTTCTCTTACTCCAAAACAAACTTGTTTTCCAATCATCATATAAAAACCAGTGAATTGAGAGTCTTCCGTGCTAAAGAGAAACGCTGTATGAACATTTAAGAATTGCCTAATTTCCCGGATGAAACATGCACTTCAAGGAAAGTCATGCATATTTATCCTTGAAATTTCCAGACGTCTTAGATGCAATTGCGAACAAAATTGTCTGAAAATTTTGAGGAAAAACACTCACATTTTTCTCAGTGAATTCGGTATTCATTGAAGAAAATATCGCAACGTCTGGTGGCTCATACGGCGTTCTTCCTCAGCACGGAAGGAGTAGTGACAATGGCGCATGGCGAGCTGTGTTGCCGTGGCCCACGGAGCACAGTGGATCGAGTCAATAGGAGAGGTCCGACAAAATTTGGAAACTTTAAACGCTTGTAACTCCGTTTATACAAAACTTTGAGGTTCTAAAAGTTTCTCCATTGGTTTCTTCGTGAAATTTTCCTTTGGGAGTATCCCTTAAAATTTAAAATTAATAAACATCGATATTTGCAGTTTTAGCCGCATATTTGGCCTGCATTTTGCAATCTGGAACTATAAATTCTGGCTCATCTGATAAATGAGGATGCATAGGGAAACTGATGGCACATACGTTATTTTTAAACCGGGCTAGAATTTATAGTTCCAAATTGCAAACTGTAGTCCATTTCATGTCCGACCTCTCCGATGACTCGATCCACTGTGCGGCGATAGTGAACTACGTTGCCACGGCGCGTTTAAGAAGGACTCGAGCGCAAAGGCAAAGCAATCCATCCAGACGACAAGGGGCGCACGGGGCGCGCAAAAAAGCGCCCCCGGCAAAAGCACTCGTTCTCTCCCACTCTCACCTGGAGGTAGGCTAATTAAGCCGTTGTTGCTTGAGTGGTCGCGTTGAAAAAGGGCAACGGGATTCCGAGCCGAGCATGAATGAGAATGAGCCGAGAACTTAACCTCATGTGGAGAGGCATTCACAGGGACTGAGACCCATCCACTTCCACCCTGCAACTTATTCAGGATCGGCCCCCGCCTTCTTTGTCCCGGTCACGGTTAAGTTTCGAGGGACCTCTGAGCTTTGCCTCCCCCTCCCCCGTCCCCGCGCCTAAACCCTCCCGTCTTAGATTTTGCGGACGGTCCGGAAAATTTTAATATGTGACCGTCGCGTCCACGGGGTGGCACGGAACGTAAGAAAAAATGAAAAAATGAAATTTTCAGTGAAACATTTCAAGAAATTTCACGAGGCTGTGAAATATTTCAAGAAATTTCACGAGGCTGTGAAATATTTCAAGAAATTTCGTGAGGCTGTGAAATATTTCAAGAAGTTTAACGAGGCTGTGAAATATTTCAAGAAATTTCATGAGGCTGTGAAATATTTCAAGAAATTTCACGAGACTGTGATATTTTTCATATTTTTCAGGGGCTAGAGTATGCAACCCGCACTCACACATACACAAAAATAGAAGAAAGTCACAATTTTTACATTTCCCGAAACACGGAAAAGGAACCGGTATTTTTCAATATCTTTCATGAGTTTCTGAAATTTCACGAATTATTTCAGATTTTATTTGTCATGAAATTTTTCCATCTTTGTAGGGACCCTACACTAATATAAATATTTGTAATCATGGGTTACTTCTGGTTAATATAGGAAGTGAAACACAAACCAACTCAAATTTTGTGTTGATTTTGGTACAGTTTGTGGTGAGTTTAGCGCAGAAAACAATGGAGGGACCGGGAAACCTCAACGTCAACAGGAGGCTTGAGTCTTTTGTGTTTTACATTCCCGTATTAACCAAACTTTTTTGTTGAGTTTCCTTTCTGTGCATTCTACAAAACATTGGCAAAAAATTAATCAACATAACACAAAGAAAAGAAGACTAAAATGAAATGCAGCATGGTCATTTTTAATAGAAATCAAATTTTAAAAAAACATGTAACATATAAAAATCAATGAAAAAAAAATTGAGCATGTGACTGATTTTTTTCTTACACTTTGGCTCAATCTATAAATTTGATCTCTTGAACCAAATTTTCGGTTTGACAAATCCCAAGTCTGATTCTACGAACCGAATAGTTTGACAATGTGGAACACCAAACCCTCGGCTCCTTTATCGAACTTTTTTTTCCAAAGTATCTCCGCCGTTCTTCAATTTTTTAAAAAAATTAAAAAATAATAAAAAAAAAAAAAAATTGCGAACGTGAGTACTTGACATTTCTACAGAGTATTCAAAAGAAGCGGAGCCAAAATATCTCCAGGTGTGTTTCCTTACCATTCTTGACCATAAGAATCAACTCAGTCCCTACAAAGGCACACTGCCTTCTTCTTAAACTAACGGTAGGCGTAGGCCTTACAGATTCTCGTAATCCTTGTTGAGGTTGTGACTGTGGCCTCTTTTCGTATCGGGCACTGCAGCCCAACATTCTTCTTCCAGTTTGATTCCTGGATGGTTTCGCCTCATCTTGACCAGCCCGTGATCGCCCCAGTATTCGTTCCAAGAGTTCATAATCAACCAGTACGGGACGTTCTTCTCCACGCCCCACCCTATCAACTTCACCGCGTGGCCTCCTACAAACTCTGCATCTTTGGACGGCTCGTAGACTCCTGTGTAGAATAGTCGTAAATCTTGGTTATTATTACTAAAATTAATTTTAATAATCCAAGTCCTATGCCTACAATCCAGATGTCAGCCATTATTTACTAAAACGATCTAAAATGGACTTCATGTCGCCATTAGATTACAGAAACAACATAGATACGGAACACTAGTTTCCCTGTCCCTACACATTCGTGCTTTTATGAATATCGACGGTGAAAGTCGGCAATCACATAACTCGTTTGCGGTGTCTGAAAATCTCCGCCTCTACGTCATTTTTTTAAAGGAGAACAAATTGATATTATTTCCTGAAGTTTTTGCAGAATTTTCTTCGCATTGAGAAGAAAAATCATGACAGTTTTAAAGAATTGCCGTTGAGTAGTTTTCCATTTAAAAAATAAAGTATGACAGGAAGTCTGCGACGTCGCAAACCGAGTTATGTGACTGCCGACTTTCACCGTCGATATGTTTTTGTGTAATTTTTATCACGGTATTGTTAGTGAATGATAACTGAGGTAAATAATAAATGAGGATTCAGATAAGAGACTATCTGAATCCTCTTATTGATAGTAAGATCCAATGAAAGCATTGTGCAATATTGTTTGTTATGTTAATTTTGGCGCAAACTACTACAATGTAGTAAAAATTAAAATCCAATTTGTGTAAACCCTTTGAAGATGGCGTAACACCAAAACGCGTTCGAAAATAAAGATACTGATATTAAGAATACTTTTCAGTTATCATTCACCAACAATGCATTAGTAAAAGTCACACAAAAAACGTATAATAATGGTGCTTTTAATAATTGCTTTAATAATTTATACCTCATCTAGTGGTCCATTTACTAAAAACAATTACCTGATTTATAGCTGAAGAAGTCGTTCATCACCTCAAACGCAGTTGTCGTCGGACCGTGTGCCATAATATCCCTCATTATAGCTTTTTCATCGTTAGGTAAATGGTAAGGTTTCTTAGCTGAAACGAAAGATTTCAAAAATCATGGAACATCACAGGAATGAGAGGGGTGTTTCTAATTGCGAAATATTTTTGAGTAATTTTCAATTATCATCAATGACCGTTACTTTTATCGCATTCGCAATAATTTTGGTACTGCCTTTTCACGATATTAGACAATTTTATCCTATTTTGTGAAAATCTCTCACGTAAAAAAGTTCTATATTTTAAACCATATTCCTAGCTGATTTTGGAGTCAGCCAGATTCACGGTTGAGTTAGCCAGCAATGCGGCTGATTGAACCTTTCTGGTTGAAATATAAGCATACTGCTGCAGGTGCAGATAGTGCAGCTACTCCTTTAGCGGGCGCTAAAATCATCCAAGAATGTCGTTTAAATTATCATATTTTTTTCCGCGCTCCTATTATGTCAAACATCTTCAGAAAAATGTTTAATCAATGACCAGTAGCGAAACGTGAGTGATCGGTTATCGATGTCTCCCCATTTGAAGCTGTGGTAAAGAATCGATTATTAAGGTATGTTGCGAACACCTTATTTATAGATCCTTTTCTAAAGCCTATAGGCTATAAGTTTACATGTCAGATCAATCGATATTTCGCAAAGCAGGCTATGCCACTGTAAAATAACGTCGAAAAAGTTGATCAGCGACCGGTCGCTGAATTTTACTAGAAATGGACGAGTTTGACGTCACGAGTGTGGTGACTGCATGACGTTGAAATATTGATACTATGCTTAGGACTAATTTCTCCTGAAGGAAGTGATCCTCAAATTATACTCACCGAAACGATAGTCCTCGTCTAATCTTTTACCGTACAATGTATTCGTGCAACTTGTCTGACATGCGGGAGTGCCGTTCCTGTACGGACAATTCTCGTAGGGTGATATATTTTCCCGATGTCTGCATGGAGATACGATGGTGTACGGTTGGCATCCCTCTGTTGTGTTGTACGAACCACCGCTGGGAAGCCCGTGTTTGTGGAAATACGCCCATGCTTGCTCATCCAATCTACGAAAATATACCAAAATTGAACGCATGAGAACGAATATGATAAGAAAAACGCGACGTAACAGCCCGGAACGACATCAGGCAGATAAAAGGCCGACGAACAGGCTCGGAACGTTCTGGCTGTATTTATTTTCATTTTTTTTTGGGCAAAAGTGCGCAAAATCACATACCTTCATTGCGAAACTTCGAAATGGCCGGTTTGACCTCATATTTCCGAAGAGAAACAAGCCAATTTTATATGATTTTTGTAAATGGTAGACAAAGCTATATAGACGAAGAGAATAGACCGATCTCATTGGTAGATAGCAGTTTGTTGAAATTGAGTAAGGAGTACAGTAAGAAAAAGTAAATAAAATCTTGTGTCAATGTGGGAAGTATAATATGAAGTAACACAAGCTGTTGGTTGATTTTTTGTGGTACTTTTCCCTGTATCAAATCGAACAAATCTGTGTGTTGAAAATCCGCGACCTCGTTAAAAGTTAGTCGCTAGCCGCCAGGAACGAACATGAAACATTCTAAGGCCAGTTCATCATTATCTTCTAGGTCTATAACAACTACCTGTTTCAACCAATAGGATAGTTCCATTCTCCTCCAGCATTCTTGTCTATCATTTTGTCTACCGCATGTATCATGATCGAAAATTAGCCCCGATTCGGCTTAGAAACTCCAATTCCAAAATCCAATCCATCCCCTCTCGCGTGTTACGCAACGCTTTCTTCTAAATGCCCCGGAAAAGATTTTTCGTCCATCCTTTTCTCCTCCATTTTTTCTGTCTCTCTTTTTGTTTCTCATGACAAGCATTTTGAGGCCTCAAGCCGATGCCTGCATACAATCAGACTCACCATCACATTTATTTGATATCTTATTCATCTGTGCACCGGATTGGTGACGCAATGCAGCCTGAAAGTTGATTTTCTGGCCCCGCGTGCCCTGCGATGTGAGCTACGAAACTCACTTCGCGTTGACCACCTTAGCTATGACTACATGTCCTCTTTTAAGCTCTCGCAAGTCATTCTATGATATTTTAACTAAGTGCAGATTTTCCAACTGAATTTCCTATTTCTGACTTTTTTCCTATTCGGTATCGTGAATAAAGTGCCCGTCTTCCTCAATCACATGAATCTAAGTGTTGTTCCTCCAAAACTGTTCGCCTAAAAATTAACTTTGACTTTTTGCTCTTCCACAAACATGCTATTCCATGTGCATTTTCTAGCAGAGGCGTCTAGCGCGTTTTTAGTTATTTCAATCCGTCTAAATCAACCATTCGAAAACTAGCCGCGATATAGTGCCTCTAAAATACGTTGTCCCACGATTGGAGTGCGATGTCTTCCGTATTTTTGTTAATATTCCAATGTAGATGGACATCTTTTGCACAAATACTTACCCTCCTTTGCACCCGTTCCCGCATGATTTGCAGCAAGACATGACGTTTGCTGTCGATAGACGCATCTGATGTTTGCCTCTCGTCGCGATGCAGTATCGATCGGTGAAGGCTTGCGCCGAAGAAATAGCCTGCAGCAAAAGGAAATCTTCAGATCCATCTGATATTCATCTTTACGCATACTTTTTTTTTGGTCAAGGAAGTATTGTATTCGCTGTTGCGGCCAACGAAGGTGGCATGTTAAGAAAGAAATGAAAGATTGGAAATTTCAGTGGAATATTTCATGAAATTTCACGAAGCTGTGAAATATTTCATATTTTTCAGGGGCTAGAGTATGCAACCCGCACCTAAACACCCAAAAATAGAAGAAAATCACAATTTTTACAATTTGCGAAACATAAAAAGGAACTTGTCTTTTTCAATATGTTTCATAAATTTCTGAAATTTCATAAGGATATATCATGTAAAATTTCAAGATTTTATTTTTCATGAAATTTTGCCACCCTGGTTGCGGCTCATGTCTTGCCGAAACTCATGAGGTATGTTCCGGCTTGTCTCGCTCTGCAGCACAGAATTTACAGTTCAGGAAAGTGATCGGAAATTTGTTTTTTGCTTTATACTGTGGATTGTTCAAAGAATGGTTTATCGTGGTATTTTAATGTTTTTAACTCTATACATTACTGCCTTATATGCTCTACCGTAAGGATCATTTTCCAAGTTATGTATCCAATTTTACAATGTCTATCTTTTTGATTTGGTGATTTCGTTACCCAGCGATTTTACGCATACTTGAGAGCAATGTAGCATGGCAACATAAACAAGTCGAGAGTAGAAATTAAAATTAGCAATCCCACATATGCCCCCTATACTCGTGCATTGTGGCTTGAAATTTCTAGCGTTTTTATTTTTACTAGATGGATATTAAACTCACTGTCTCGCTGTCAAAATTCGTCGAGTCATTAATTATTTTGTATTTTCGATATTAAACTCACTGTCTCGCTGTCAACATTCCTCGAGTCATTAATTATTTTGTATTTTCAAGTAAAAAAAAAAAACATCTGTTTCATCCTCTCTCAAATTACATCTCGATTCAAAATTTGTTCCTTTTGGCATTGGAAAAATTGAGCTCTGGTCCCCGGTCTTTCGCTTTTTTAAGCCGCAACTTAGAGTACTTCGAGCCGAAAGCACCGGCTGTGCAAGCCAGTCCACTTTTATGGCTCTTGAGCTTGGAGAGAGCTTTCAATGATCTTAGAAAGACGATCAAAACTTTTAAACTTTCGTGTATGAATAAACAATAGAGATAGCGCTCTCACCCAGCATGATCCGCACCTCCCCTGGTCAAGAACTTCGGCTATTCTTGGGCATTTCTTGTGCCACTTCTTGCGGGCATCGAAGTTTTTTGGAATCTTTCTCTCGTCTACCCACAGTGGATCCGAGGTCTTTACCGTCTCTGGTATCTTGTCCCTGCCTTCCATTTTTGCGCCTAGAAGTACCTTTAAGTCCGCCAGTGGAGTGTTTGGGTCAAAATTTCTTCCCGCCTGCATACAAATTAAATCGGTGCGTTAACATCGGACCTCATAAAACTGCACTAAGGTTATTTCACCAGAATGTCATCAGTCTGGTTTTTAATTGGAAAAGAATACGATTATCGTTAGAAATAATTTACATTTGCGAGGTACGATTGGAATGTGTGTTTTTATTAATTTCACTTCTGATGTTCCATTCAAAACTGATTTAAAATGAAATAAATTACAATTTTGGTTCTATTAAATATTATTCTTTCCCAGGAAAAAAAAACATAACTACATTTAAAAATTGCAAAATGTTCACTCGTCAATTGTACTCGTACCAGGTCACTGAAAGGAATTTTTAACTGAAATTACACCAATTTTTCTTCTGACTACAGATAAAAAATCAGCAAAATTTTGGATAGAAATTGATAGCAATAAGTCATATTCCTATAAAAACTGAATTGCGTGAGCTGCTTTTGGGACATTCAAGTAGAATTACATTCCTTCGTCTGGCAAACAAAGGTTTATATGTGAATAAACAAATGGTCATAATTACAAATTATGAAGAGGAACATTGTGCGGTAGTAATGACATATTTAAATGACGCTTACCTTCCATAAATCCTGTTCAGCGTTAATTCTCTCAATGAATTTGTCGGATAAAAAATTCTTCTCGCCAGCAGAAAACACACAAATATGCGCTAAAATGTAAAAATAAAGCACATACAACCTCATTTTGAACTTTACTCAGGATCCGATATTTTTAATAATTCTGATAAGTCGTAATGAAGTACGTTTATTTCAAGCAGTACCCCGGCCGCGATAGCTGTCTTAACTCATGCAGCGAAAAAACGGAGTTTTATTTATTTATTTCATTCTTTCTTTTGGAAAAAAACAATAAAAAAAAATAAAGGAAGGTAACGAGGAGTAGGAATTTTGAAATCGAACTCGTGGAAGAAGACAAATATGCGCTGCTCTTCTACGTGAACTGTCTGAAAGATATTCAGATGAGGCGGACACTTCAACGTCAATGATTGTTACTGCTATTTAGATTAAATATGGTGAATGGTTTGAATTAGAGAGTGGCGCAAAATATGTACTTCAGAGTTTGAGTTTTCGTGGAGCTGAAGTGCATATCGAGAATTTTTGAGCAGCTGTGATTCAGTTTCTCGCACTTAATTACTTAGACGAGTCGCAAGTGAATGCAAAAGGAAGGGAAAACAATCCTTTTGATAATTTTCTCGAATAACTAACACAGACTCGCGAAACGAGACATTATTGAAATAACTTGTAAAGAACCGGTGAGCGTGAGAAATAGTCCGCTGTGCTCAGGTAAAACGCCGTATGACCTTTTAAACGTTGCAAAATTGCTCCTAATAAATATCTTTTTTTTGGGAAAATTTGAGCGCATCTTTTAATGTAATTTTCTGTAAATATTCTCTAAAATTGATTTCAGTATACCTAGAAATTCCAAGGAAGAACATTCATAGCTCCTTCCGTAAATAATTATTTTTTCGGAAGAAATTTAGCAACTTTCAAAGTTTCATACGGCATTTTCATTCAGTTGGACAGTATTGCTGAAATGAACGCAGAAAAGCCCCGGATGGATACTTCGTCTTTTCCCAGATAAAAGAGTGCAAGTTTATTCCATGGGTGCATAATTGACTTTATCAATATAATTATTTACCAGGAATATGATTTAATAAGAAATTTCAATTTAAAATTTTCCTGATTTTTGCGTGTACTCAAAAAAAAAACAGCTAAATTTTTAAATAAAAAAACCTAAACAGTTACCTGATTAAAATAAAATTTGCGAGTGGTAAATTCGCAATTTTAAACTGTGATTACGCTCTTTTGTCTGGAGGGTGACAATTTCTAAATGCAAATATCTCAGTACTATTTTTCTAAGAATAAGACGAATGCGCTTAGGAATGGGAAAATGTAATATTGAATAAAGAAGCCAATGTTGCAAGCACCAGTGCCGGCTCCTTAACTGCAGAGGTTCTAATGACCATTGATGCTAAGACACTGCTTAAAATAAAGGAATATTACCTCACAACCACCTACTTCCATATTATTGTTTCTGAGATCTCTCATATGTTCACACTGGAACGTTCACATATGCGACTTGTAAATTTCAATCGCTGATTTCTTCTCATCTTCCATTTTTCACACCTTGAGCTTCGTGAGTGTACTCTTCGCAGCCAGGGTAATTCACCGACAATCTCAATGCATCAAGATGTTTTGTTTGCTGTTAAATGAGTGTTAACGTTAAAGTAAGCGTCTGCTAACAATAAGAGGGACAATTTAACATCGGGGACCGCAGTTAGCTTGGTGCAGTTGGAATCTTATCGAGTATAGTTCAAACGGTTCAACGGAGCGATTAATACTTATTTATCAACTAATTTGTCAAATTAACGCTCTTTGACTTACGCCGAAGCGCAGTTGTCTATCAAACTGTTGACCTGTCAATCGCACACAAAAAAATCCTCTTTCTTACACTCAATGACTCACTCTCCTCAAGTGACTCTTGAGTGTTGGCTTCACTTCCACTCATTAAACAAAGCGATCAACACTGCCGTGCTAAGGAAAAACGCCGTATGATCCTTCAGGCGTTGCCAAATTTCCTTCAATAAAATGTGAATTTCCTGGAGAACTTTTGGATATGTTTCTCCCACTCGTTCACAGAATTTCAATCGCACAGTAATCTACGGTATCCGAACATTTAGAGGAAGAATATTCATAACTCTTTTCTAAAATTAACATTTTATCGGAGGAAATTTGGCAACTCCCGAATTTTCATACGGCGTTTTTCCTTAGCACAGCAGAACAGGCGGGCGTATTTTTACGATTATATTGAACTTTTGAAAAGTCACTCACAGCAGTTTAATACTAAGCTCAAGACCCCATCAGTAGAGTACCGAGAGTATGGACAACTAAATATGTAGTTCTTATAGCCCAAAAGAGTAGGTAACCTTTGAAGACGAAAAATGTCACTGTCAATCTGTGGACTCCAATATCAAACGAAAATGGACAAGAAAATTCATAAGTAAGCATTCTTCCGCGAAAATGAGTAATTGTATGCAAAAACCAAGTCAAGTACGTGCATTACCAACGACAGTTCCCGCCAATTGTGATTATAAATCAATCTAGATAATTTGAATTCATAGGTTGCCTACCCTTTTGGTGTCTAAGAGCTCCATCGCCTAACCTCAAAATTTTCGACATGTCCATACTCTCCCTATCCTATATATAGGCACTCTATCCAACAGTATCAAGCAACGTTACCTCCGATAAGTGTCCGATCCTAGGGACGCACTTCTCACCGAGGTCGTTCGCCCGTCGTCCAAGCTGACCCGACCCACCGTGCGCCGCCGGAATAAAATCAACGTACTTCGGGCGCGTATTTACCTCTCGCGAGTGGGGTAAATACAATAAAAATAAAATAGTAAATAAAAATTCTGAATACGGCAAGTTTAGCGGACACCGAGATAAGATAGCGCGTATAATTTAGGTATTCGATGTGCCCTAAAGAGCGCTCAGGTGGTGATACGGGGGGAGAGGCGGGGTCAGTTATTGTGCCTTGGGGGG